CATCTTAAGTCTAGAGTTAGCCATAATCTGTCCTACATATCCTTATAATATACACTTACTTGCTTTATGCCCTTACAACAAATCCATTCAGTAACCCTTTATCTTGAGTTGCTGTTGTTCCTTGTATTGAATGAAAAATTTATATATATATATGTGTGTGTGTCTCCTGAAGTATTTAAAAATAAAAAATATCCCATCAGCCAGTTGCCCTACAGTCCAGAATTGGCTACTTGTGTCAGATTTCTTGTTATCACTGTTGAAAGTGGGGGTGGTTTCATTAAGGAGACTAGGATTAGATTGCTGATGACAATCTCTAAAGAGGACTGTTTTGAAAAGTGAAGAAAATGCTATGAGACTTCCTAAAAAGATTAGTTTAAAAGAGACTAAGGCATCACTGCTCTAGGTTGGCTTCTTTTTTCATTAATATCAAATAGTTGGATCATTTCCAAATAAAACTTGTATGTATAATTCAAATCTACTTATTTGCTAATGCAATATTAATAAAGCAAATCATTAAAAAAGAAATTAGGTCAAGTTTTGAAGAGTTCATTTTTATAAGAAAGCAATATTTGACAGAAAATTCAGTGGAATTTAATAGTAAAATCCTTGATGTAACTTTCCATTCTGGGATCAGCCTATGAAGAAATATTATTTCCTCAGTGGAAAGACAAATTAAAAAAGAGCATACCACATAACTTATAGTTACTGTTAATTGTTGGTCACCTGATTGTGCCTGGTGTAAACTAACTGTTATTATAAACCATATCATTTTAATTATTTCACCTCAATATATATAAAATAAGTGATCAGAAGATAAAAATGCCCAGAAAAATTGTTTTTTTTTTGTTTTTTTACACACTTGTTTCAAATTGTCTATATTTTTAAATAGCCTATATCTTCATCGAATGTCTTGTCCATCATCACATAATTCAAAAATGGCTATAACTATTTTGCCATATTGGTTTTTGAAAATTAACAAACATTCACATTTTTAATGAGGGTTTAATTTACAATGTAAGTATAATACTCAACTAGACCCTTAATTTGTGTCCACCAGGTTTACTATGTTAACCTTTCAAAACACTAATCTATAAACAAAAAGATAGTTTGCAGTTTGGTGATATACCTATTTTTATTTGTACAATAAAAACATATCCATTTGAAATCTTTTGGGGAATCTGTCCCATCCAGTTATTTAAATAAAATATGATGCAAGAGTCAATGATAGCAATGACTTGAATAGCATATAATTCAATAAATACATAGTTCAAATCTAATATCTTTTATTGAGGCCATAGTACCTATTAGGCCTTTTACAAAAACTAAAAACTCTACTTGTAAGTCAGGTTTTCAACTAGTCAATGAAATTGATCAATTATTTCAACTTTATATCATGTTGCCATTTTCTACATTTGCAATAGTGTCATTTTTATATATCTTCTAATTAATATGTTGGAATCTGCTCCTTAGAAAATGTTAATTTAGAACTAAATATTTTAGTTCTATTTTTATTGCTGTTATCATCAGTTAGATTATATATCTGTAGATCTGTTTCAGCATATCTAAAATGTGTAAAGATTTATATTTCAAAATGGTAGAGGAATTGATTTTGAAATTGAGCTTTAGTAAGTATATAAGATGTTTTTGTAAAGTCTTATTTTGATGTATTTCACTGATCAAATTAATTTTATTTCAATGAGATTTATATTGGCAAAACAGAATGGGAATCACACTAGTCATTTTTTTAAAGTATTTCAAATGAGTTTTAATAATATATTCATTTGTCCTAAGATTTTTCATATCCCACTGTAACGGGAGTGTGCTATGGAAGAAAGTTTTACTCTTCCATTTATATTTCCCCCATTATGGGAATTATTATATCCATGATATAACACCATAGTTCACAAGTGGAATGGAATGGCTGAAAAGGAATGACAAACATTCTTTGTTCTCAGAGAGACTTTTATACTACTAAGACATACACAATACTATATATACATATATACATGTGTCCTATACAGAGAAAAATATATTTAAAATATATCTACACAGCAAAGCAAAATGTAAGGAGAAACAAAAAGGAAGAGTCTTACATATAATAAAGAGATACTCCTATGTCTGGAGAAGTCATGTTTAGGACTCCAAACAGGCCAGATTCATCTATGTCCCAGGTGAGGACATATTCCACGAACAGGAGACAGCAAGTCTTGGGTTTTCCCAAATTGAGGACTGCAAGCTGGAGTTTCTTTCTACATCTGGGAAAGATATATTCCCAAAGAGAAACAGCACTATGAACTTGTAAGCTGATGGGAGGCAGATTTAGACTCTGCCCAGGCCATGGGGGCCCGGGCTAAAGAAAACAACCTTTCACTTTGGCTATTGTAAATGAACTAATTTTGGCTGACACTTTCATCACTGTATGGAGTGTCATTACTAAGTGGCCATAACATGACCAATGTGACTTATCTCTACCAAAGGGAGATAATTGCCTTCTGTATCCTTACATCACATTGTTTCAGCACCAGTTTAGCAAGAACAAGTGATAGGCAGAAAAAACCTAGTCATATTAACTGCAGGGGATTTTTAGATTATGGCACTTTCTGAATGAATTATTCTCATTTTTTAATTAAAAAAGTATTTGTTAGATCATACCAGTGCACTGGGTGGGTTAATTACCAGTCCCATTTATGTTCATATATTCTTTTATTTAAATTTCAGAATGTTTCATCAATTCAGTTTGGTAGACTCCTTTTCCGGATATAAAGTTAGTTGTCTGTTTTACTTTATTTTAAAAGTGTTTATGATAATTTTTATATTGAGAATGATGAAATTCCTCTCAAATTTATTATTTATTTATACATTCTTTTTCCTTTTGAGGTTTTATTGATTTTATACACTTTGCTATTATATGAAATAAGTGGGTTACTGGAGGATTTTAAAAGTATCTTCAATGTATTATTTCTCTTCATTAGATAGATATTTGAGACTGTAGATTCTAAGAGCTATTAAAATCCCATGATTATGCCAGATTTGATTTTATTGCTGTGATGTGAGTGAAAGTGTATGAAGTAATTTTTGTTTGTTGACTTACAATGGACTTTTTTTTAAACTAAGGTTCACTTTATACAAAGCTCAGGTGCAACTCAAGGTAGAGGATTAATAAAGAAGGTTGTTGTATGAGCAATACAAATAATAAGCACAGTTTATAAGTATGTGTGGAAGATAACAATTAATACTATTTTTGAAGAAATCAAAATTGTAGTGGTTGGAAAAGCATTTTCTTGCAAATCAGTTCCATCATTCAGTGGTTCATCAAAAGAAACTGTTTGAGTGTAAATTCCTTCTTTCTAATAGAATATAAAGGAAACTAGTATTGTTCACCTCAGTATATATGACATGTACATGGCATGGAAAGTCTTATCTGTGAAGGTTAGAACTGTTGAAACTAAGGAATGTAGCTTGTCAGAACATTTTATATGGAAATTGAGTAGTGAAAGGCTAGCAACATTTTGTCTGTGGGAAAAGGAGGTTGTACAATGGAAAATAATTCATTACCCAAAAGGCTATGTAAGTGCTTTTGAACTATTAAGACTGGAAAGTGAAGACTGGGTAGCCTTGGTCTAAATATGGCCATAGTTCTTCATTTTCAGTCTGATCTAGCTCTTGTAGAGATAGACTATAGTGGGAAGAGTCAGGTATTTACTAGAGCAATAGAAGGAACCAATCAATTTTACAACATTGACAGATTGTATATAGAAGTTCCACTCCAAATCTTGGGTGAGCTTAAGTCCTTATAGGCATTCAAAGCAAGGTAGTTTTTAAACCATTGTCACTTTGAATTAACAGAATATCAAGAAAAGGTAAGTTGCTGTTTGTTTTTTCATATCTGAATTCAGTTGTTAACTCAGTTTTGTTTGTTTTATTTATGAGATCAAAGATTTTTATTTTTACAAGTTACTTTTATATTTCATATTTGAACAAAAACAAGTGACCTGTATTAATCAAAGTGAAATTTACTGGTCACACTTATGCTGTTAAAGGGAGCCAGTTATAATTTTTTATTTCATGGTATTTGAATTTCATATAAATCTATTTGTTCTTTTATTTTTTATATATATATTATATATATATATATATATATATATATATATCAGATCCAATTCTTGACAACTGAAAAGAATATATGAGGTGAGTACTGAGTTCTCAGCACAACACACATTCCAAATTTTGGTCAAATGATCAAGCATTATTTTTAAGTCCATTTTTGGTCAGCCAAGAACTTTTCAAATCCATGTCAATACTTTCTTTGACAAGTCATACAAATGAAAAAGATAACAAGAACTCCATTACAATGGTATTTAGATTAAGAAACTGGGCAGCAAGGACTCAATCTGTACAATGAATGTCTGTGGGATGTTTTATCATGAGTTGTAATCTTTCAAATTCCCTTGTAAAATAAACATTTTATAGACTAGTAAATATTGTATATTCTATCTGACATGAATTCCTCTTTTTTTTCTTTTTTTTTAACAGATTTTTTTGTATTTTTTACTGCTATCATAATATTTTTGCTAATCCATTTTTCAGCACTCATCAGATGCAGTCTGTGAAAAAATTGGAATTTCCTTTTTCTTACAGATTAGGTCTAAAGATTGGGTCAAACAAAATGTTGTGATGACAAAAAATATAAAGAAAAGATTTGAGCATTTGAATAATGCTGAGAAGAGTCATTAACATATTCAAAATTATAGACAATTACAAACTTTCATTATAAATTCCATAATACCAGAGCATAGCTAACAGCATATTTTATACTCCATTTTTAATACAAATTATGTTATAAACAATAAATATTTTATTCCAATAATATTACCAAAGTGTAACAAATAAAGCATTACATTATATTTGAATATGTATATTGAAAAATATAAAATGTTTTCAAATATGAATGCATTCCTTACTTTCCCTCTATTTGAAACTGAAATATTTCTAGTACTTACCCTGAATTTTGATGAAAGTAATTCTGTTATACTAGATTGTGTAAGTGTCTCTGTTGTTTCTGTTTCAACATCCAGCAGATCTAAGGCCTGTGGCCTATTCTTGGGTGCAGGCTTATCAGAAACAATATCTACCTTTACTGGAGTAACAGTGAACTGCAAAAGAAAAAAAATATATTTAAGATCCATGTTAATATAAAAGAATGGAAAAAAAAGAATTCTGGAAAAAAAAAATACTTTTAAAAGGTTTCTTGAAGAAGCAATATTTTAACAATATTCTTAGATGAGGAAAAATATACATACATAATTTTATCCTTTCATCACAAGCAAGGTAATAAAGCCACTAAGATACAAGGAGTTAGTGAGAAAGCATTAAGGAGAGACAGAACAAAAAAACAACAGGATTCAAGGTGACAGGAGATAACGATTGATGTTGCAGTTAAATTTTTGAAGATCAAAGTTGAAAGCAAGAAGCCAGAAGATAATTCCAAAAGCCAGAAAACAGTTTCTGGTAAGAAAAATTGTCTAGCACAACACAGTGAACTAATTTTTCTAGCAGTAAACCTAGCAATTGATTCAGTATGATTGTTTCATTTCATGTCAGTGAAAAATGTTAGAGTGAGAAAATATATATATCACATCCCTACTCCAATAAATAATACAGGGTGCAGCAGAAATAGCTGGTAAGACATTAGCTGGATGAAGATACTGTTGCTACTAATGTCTTACCATTATGTGGGAGGTATTTTCTGCTGCACCCTGTACATCTCAAATAATTTAAATTAAACTTGTGAGAGTACAGTTAATTTGTCCTGGTCAGTTTCAGGATCAGAGGTTAAACATTGGCAGCAGTAGGGATGTTCTCAATAGAAATATATTGTGAACAAGTATAAGAGGAAGAAAGCGGATCTCTAATTTCAGGCTGCTGCTGATAATAAAGATAAGGAGGCATGCATTCAAATAAATGTAAAAGATTAATTGCATAACAAAACAAAATTTATTCTTGTTTTGAAAATATTTTGTATTAAACATTTATAGCAATCAATTTTTGTTCATATTTAAGCGATAACCTAAAATATTCATAAAATATCTAATGTTCAAAAGTAAATCATTTTTTATAAAAGAATTCACTTAAAAGAAAGTAATGGTAATATTATCCATTTCCTTATGAGAAAAAATTCAGCATTCATTGACCAAGCAACCAGTATTGCTTTGGTTGAAATTTATAAAATCTTTCTATTAAAATAATTTTTTTAGGAAAATGGGTTTCTCAAGTCCAGTAGCTCTTATCAATCTTTCAATTATTGATATGGGTTTCCTGTCTAACCTTTTATTGAAGTAGTGTGGAATGTCAACATTTTGATTATGTCTTTATTTTCTCAGAGCTATATGTGATATCTACTTTAGATGTTATTGTTGTTGAATGTTCTCAAGTGATATGGTTTATTTGGTACAGTTCTTTATTTATGATTCTGTAATGTTAGTTCACAAATTTCAAAGAAGTGTGATCTTTGCCAACACCCTCAGGCTTCACTCACTCAAATCCATTTTTAACTATTGATTTTAGAAAGTGGTTGTATACAGCTGTGTATTTAGATATTTCTGAACAAGTTTAGCACCATACATGGCATCCATATGATAGTCTCTACCTGACAAGGCTGTTTAAGAACAGGACTCATGTTTTCAATATTTTGGTTTTGTACCAGTTTGAGGTGTTGGAAATAATGACATCTGGCATAACATATTCTATGATCAATTTCCTTATCTCCTATACTAAAATTGTTATAGCTGATCCAGACACCAAGGTATTTGACAATGTTTAGCATTAATTCCACAATGAATTTTTATGATGGATTCAGAGTATGTGCCATCATTGCTTTCATCCCAATTCCAGATCATCATTTCAGTTTTGGAAAAGTTTTTCTTGGATCCTATTTTTGAACTACTTGGTAAATAGTTGTTGATTTTCTGTTCAAGATCATTCTTATCCCAACTATGAATACCTATATCATCGGCATATCCCCCTCATCATAAGTACATTGACCTCAAGAGAGAAAGTAGTATTATTGTCTTCTATTGATAAATTCATTTGAGATGCTGTATGGAATGCTTAAATGATCATGTTAATTACAAATTTAGACAATACTGAAGGCGTGGAAGAAATTCACATGGTATCAGAATTGGTGTCAAAATTTGGAGAGAAACCTGACTTCTCTTCTATGGCAGCTGACAAATATCTCTCAAGGAAAGGATATTTTCTGCTTACTTATAAATCATCATCTGTTCTAGAAGAAAGTTCTTGCTTTGAAGCAGAATTTTTTCAATGGCTGAAGTTCTTCCTTTTTTGCCAAAAGCTATGCATCAAGCCTTTTACACAGGTTATTTTTTTTTTACTCTTGTTCACTCAATACAGAGCCAAAGAGTGACTAAAGGTAGAGTAGAATTTTTTTAAATGAGGTTATTGTAAGGGCATACAAAAAAGAAGCAAGAGGTGTATATTATAAAGATATGTAGGATATATAACAGTTGACCATAGATTTGAAGAGGTTAATATTGTAGTGATTGGAGAAGTATCCTCTCAAATGTCTCTTCCACAATGAAACTTATTATTTATTTGTACTTTATCTATGAAAGTGTTAATTTCTGTTTTCACATCCAGTTCAGAAGATTGTTCAACAACATTCTTCATAGAGGAGTTCAAGTAGAGATAAAAATAATATTTTTATTTCCATCTTATTACCAGTAAGAAATATTTTTTAAAACAGATTGTTAATACAATTAATCAAATTATTAAGATTAATTTGTTTATTGAAATAGTTCTCAGTCAGATTTTTCAGTTGATAATATTGTTTAAACACTAATTTTCTGATCCAACTTACCGCTCTCATTTCTCAACTTAATTCAGATGAAGCCCTCAAGTTTTTAAATTAAGCTGATATGAAACAGGGTTTTTCAAATTGTAGAATGAAAAAAATACACAAATGAAAGTAAAGTACAGAATATAAACAACTCTAAATGTTGCACAGCACTCATAAATCATTGCTAGTTTTTCAATGAGGTAAGCTCATATATTTTAGTTTTTATTAATTATATATATATATATATATATATATATATAGTCTGTTCTCATTGAGTTTATGTATCAGTGCAGAGTGAGTGACATCAGTTCTCTCTCACAAAGAGACCTTGCACCAATTCTTAGCTATGAAAGTGTGCAATACATTCATCTTCGTGGCCGGTAAAAGCTGTTAAGATTGTTGTATAATTCAGTTGAAGTACTGGTACATTCTTTCTGTGGTAGTAAGATGATGTGCTGTATTCATTTGAAGTCTCAGAATTTTCAGTGAATTGGCTGCTATTTCAGTGAAATTTAAGAATGGGCTAGTTTTTTAAAAGTAATAATTTTATATTCATACAAATTGATAGATGCAATTTCAATATGTGTGGATCACAAGAAATATAAATATAAATTGTCGATGCTAAATAAATGAACCTAGTGAACAGGATTTCTTTGATTTATTGCACAAATAGGTATAATGGGTTGCAATGCAAAATATGGTTCTTGCTGTGGGTAACACTAAAAAAAAAATTGAAAAACACTGATCTAGGTAACTTCAATTAGTCAACAGCAGATTTTTTATGTACTAAATATAATTTTTTTTAATTTAATGTTCTTCTAACTCACTTTATCCCTCTCACTCCTCATATGCAAATACAAATATTTAATGTTCAGAAGACACCTCAAAGTATCCACAAAAAGTTTATAATAACTTGCATAAATTTTCACTCTGTTAGTAAACAAAAATTTAATAAATAATAATAAATAAATTTTAATAAAATGACTGATTATAGCAGTTAAGTTGGCTAGTATTTAATTCCTAAATTTAAAATTTCTTAAAAATTTTTTTTATTAAATAAATAGGACTGAGACATTGTTAGTGTTTCAAGATGAGGGCTATTCAACACAATTACAATAAGGTGTAAGTTGTCATTAATTTCTCAACTTTGTAAAATGACTGAAATAATGAGCTATGCATATTCTTACAAATTAATGGGTAATATTTATAACAAAACAATTTTGATGAAGTCATTAATATTAAAAAATAATTTGAGCATAAAATCAGAGAGGCTGCAAAATGAGGATGAAATTTAATTCCAATACAATTACATACATACATATTAAAAACATGCTTAAACTATTCTACCGAGACAATATTTACAAACATTCCAAAAAGATTGCATAATATAACACACCATTTAAATCAAAGTGTCTATTGCTTAGAAATTAACATCACCATCTAAAATATTTGACTAATCAGAAAAAACTAAAACCTTATTTTTCTCAGGCCTACTTTCGGGGAAAATTTCTTATAAAAATCTCAAAGATTTTGACTTTCAGGAACCGAGATGTGACTGCCTCCAAGCTATTCCAGCACAGGAGGATAAATGGCTACATAGCATTTTCCATCCTCACACCAGTGCATGATGAAAGGAACATGCCTCAGCAACTTTGAATGAATCATCTCCAACAACAGCTTGGATGATCAGTGAATCTTTGCTGATGATCAAAGTCTTTTCTAAACTACAGAATTTTTTGTGGACCAACAACTCAGAGATATTAAATCAATTGAAGACTATTTTTACTCATTTTTGACTCTTGAATTCATGTACATATGTTAGTAAATATAAATGATTTATTTAACAGACATTTTTTTTGTTATTTTACTATTGTGTGGAATTCACATGTTTTTAAAGTAAAAAGTAGAATTCCCTACAGTACTGCATAAAAATGTAAAAATGCTTAGTTTTAATTACAAAAATACTTCACAAGACATTAAAAATATATTTCAAAATTTATTTGTTTTAATGTTATTAAAGGACCCAATCCAACAACTTCATAGTACATACTATGTAAATGAATATTATTGCTATACTTTTGTATTTGTACATTACCCATTTTATTCATATGCATTAATACCTATTCATTAACCATGAAACACAGTTTAGATTAAATACATACTAAGTATTTTGAGTTTTCCAGGGAGGGTCTACTTATATAAATAACTCATCCTTAGAAGTTAATACAGTGAGTGTTTTAAAAAATAAGTAAAATTCTGTTGACATTTCAATTTGTTTATTTTTTTTTACAACTATTTATGTTGCATATTATAGAATACATATCTTAGAGTTTCAGCCAATCCTAAGAGAATTCTTTTTTATTTTACTTTATTTAATATATCAGAAAAAAAAAAACACTTTTTGAAAGTAAAATCTGTTATCCATATCAGACAAGTGATGATAAATCTTTGATCATTATTGAAAAAAAAAAAAAGGAAATAAATAAAATTTAATAACATATTTATTTTTATTTTCACAACAAATTTCAGTTCTCTTTGCAATTTTACTCTCTGGTGGAAAACAGAATATGGTTATAAGAATTATTTACCTGAACATTTGTGATCATGTTTCAGATTGTAGCCATTGAAATGTTATAAAATGAGTTAACTCATTCTATTACATTCACTATTCTAATGCATCTTTTGATTTCAATGTCACATTTTCCAAATTAAGTTAATCATACTTACAAGATTAAAATAGTTATAAGTGGAAAATCCAAGTAGTTAATCCTGCACAAAAAGCAGCAGATTATGTTTTTGAGGTGACAAATTAATCAGCCAAGAGAACTAAAGTCAAAGAATGTGTGAATTTATGGTTTTATTTTCTAATTTTGTTTTAACCAAATTTTGAAGGTTGTTAATTCTTAAGGGAAACACCACACCACAGTAGGGATCATAGAGTCACTGTAAACTCCAGTCCTTTCATTAGTTGCAGGGTGACCAATAAATCAACAAGACAGCATCATGTTAAAACCAACTACTGAACAAATTCTAAACAGAAACAATTGATACAAGAATTGACCCAACAAAAAAATTTCCCTGCATATTGTCATGT